TATGTGTGCGTGTGTGTGTATCTATGTATGTATGTATGTATGTATGTATGTATGTATGTATGTATGTATGTATGTATGTATGTATGTATGTATGTATGTATGTATGTATATATATATATATATATATATATATGCATGTATTTGTATATTTGTGTGTGGTGTGTAAGTTTGTGTGGGTTTCTAGTTGATCTGAATCTTAAAACGACTATGCAGGTTTGCGTCTGGTGGTGTGTGTATTTAATATATGGACACGCATGCGTACACGGAGTTTATGTGAAAATAAGCACTTGCTCATGATTGCAACAATTACAACTCATAAATCATAGCATAAAGAAACGTATTATACATACTGGGTCGTATCGTGGCTTGCGCTCGGGATATAGCTTGCCTGCTGAGCATGTCGAAGACTGTAAATGGTTTGTGCGTGAAATGCTGTAGTGACGTCGGACAGACGATTATCGATGAAACGAATTATTGCAAATCTATATCTATATGGTTGCAGAAGCAGACTATCCGAGACAGCTCTTTATGTTCTTTTAGAAGGAGCTTGTAATGAGGTACTTTTATGGTGATGGACTTCAAAACTACCCGCTAGACGTCTATTGAAGTATGGGATGTGACGCAATGAACAAGTACATAAAAAGTCGCATCACAGTTTTCAATCATCAATACATCCACAGTATGATAAAATACTATAAAAAATTGGTACGCAGCATGATGTCACATCTCCTCGTGTGACCGGGACCAGTCAGGAGCGTTTAGGGTATGACTCGTATGCGTCATAATCATTCGGCTATACATAGCCTACTAAATAGAACATACTTTTTTATATATAAAATATTAATTTATAAAAATTGTTTGGGAGTGCCACAGTGTGGTCAGACCGTCAGTGCCTCTGTAATTTTTTTAAATTTTGTTTTTTGTTTTCTATGTTTTTTGAAACAAAAACCTTTAAAAAAGTTTTGTTCGAAGGAAAAAAATATCGTTTTTACGTTAAAAAAATTGTCGTACATATTTACCATCGGGATTTCAACTCTGCAATTTGTCGTTCTTTTATATACGTTAACGCATAAAATTCAATCATTTTTTTGCGTTTACGTCACTTCGCACTCAAAAGAACAAAACATAAATACATACACAAATAGCCCTACTCTAGAAACACCTTGCCTCAAATACCTTGCCATCCTTTGTCTACTACTAAAATAAATAGATGATGCAAATCGAATTGACGAGTCAGTCTGCACTCAGCACTCTGCCAGTGGATGCTGATTGCTGAGTCTGTTGACTGCTGTCAGCCTGTCACTGCTGTGGGTGACTGGGTCTGGTGGCTGGTGGCCCTGTGCCGGGCGGCGGCTTGGGCCTGTGGGAGTACTATATATTTATGGAAATTTGGAACCAGCTTCCTACGGACTTTAGTCCGATGTGGTATATTTTTATTTAATCTCTTAAGAGTATTTGAGGGTCATGAGTCATGACCAGCTAAATAATTTATTTTTATTTTTTTAAATGAATATCAAATCTTTGCTCCTGCAATGTGGTATGATAAATATTTTCTATTGGACATAACTATTACATTTGACTGTATTTACTATTTACGAGTGTACGTCTGTACGATATGTGATATGATATTTACTGTATTTAAATATTTACGTAATGTTTACTGGCATAAATGGTTTTTAAATTTATTTTAAAAGAAAGTAGCAAAATACCCCATCCATGTTCATACTCAGGCGATTAAATCGGGCCGAAAATAAAGAGCGTTCCATATTTACTTAATCCGGATTTCTATTTAATCCCAATATTTTTGGTACATTTCAAGATTAGGTATTTCAATGACCTGCGAAGGCGTCAAGGTCGTAGTACAAGCAGAGCACCTTCTATGCTTTTAAAAGGGTATAACACTACATCGGAATCGTCCAAAACTCAATTATTGGGTCTAAATATTCCTAATTAGTGAAGTTTTAAAGTTGTCGCGTACAAATATTGTCCAAATAATATCGTATATTCATCCTTATAACCAATACAAGCTTCAGCTTCTAAAATCGAGAAAAAGTTTGTTTGCGCCATGAGATGTGCCATGTCATCGTTTGCACGATGAATCGCATTTCTTGAATTCACCCACAAATGATTACAATAACATTTTCAGGGCCTACTTATGCTTATATAAGTAATACGAAGATCTAAAAATCATATATAAAAAAGCCATATAATTGAATACGCACCCCTAATGGATGTCATTGATGGATGCATGCACGTAAATGATGATTTTGAGAAGTATAAGAAGCCACCTATACCTCAAAAATGAGTTTTGAACTAATAATACTTATATTTATTATATATTAGAATTTTTAGAAGGTTCAAATTGCTAATACGCGACCTGGAAATCCAAGATTTGGCATGGTCGAAAAGTGCACAATGGTGTTCATAAATCAATACTGTACATATCTGTCTGAACCAGTTGAGGCTCGAGAGCTATCAAGTTGGCGCCTTCGCAAAATTCTTTTGAAATGTTTTTATAAGAAAAAGCCTAGAAAAATAAATTGTGATTATTTTCAAAACCGGATAGATAGTCTGAATTAGGTTTGCTTCTTTAAAATCGAGTCCCCTTTTTAGTCTATATGGATGGGGTAATGCATATAAAAAATATAAACAAAATAAAATTTGTGATCAGATGTCAAATTCTCAGAAGGCTATGGATCAGATGACAGTCCAGATGGATGGCAAGGTGTCAAAGTATGATACGTGTCAGTTCAATGTAGGGTTCTGGGTTTGGGTTTCAGTTCCGTAGTCTTCGAAATTGTAATGGAAGCTTTTGGAATTTGGAACATGCGCGCTACTAGCTCGTTGCCTGTACACAGTTTAGAATTGTAGATGCTCACCTCTTTCCTCTATGTACATATGTATTAATAATAAAACTGCTTGTGAACGTACACACAAAAGTGATTTGTTATTTACCTATCCTTGGACTTCAACCTTTCATCATTTACATATGAATTTGCGCGACAATCTACAAAGTACATATTGTATCACAGAAAGTAGAAAGTGTTACTTATGCATTCGGCAATAGTCAGTCTATTCACTTTTATTGAAGACAAATATGTCTACCATCGCAAGGGCCGGTAAACGGCTGCTAATTGCAATTGGCGGTAACAGTATAATCAAGAATCCGAAAAAGACATCAATTGCAGAGCAAGCAGAGACCATCAAGGTCACGGCTATGAAAATAGCCACACTGGTGACGCAGAGAGGATATGAGGTTGCGATAACACATGGCAACGGACCACAGGTGTGAAGAATTATAATATGTTGTATATATATGTATGTGTGTGTGTGTGTGTGTGTGTGTGTGTGTGTGTGTTGTGTGTGTATATATATATGTGTGTGTGTGGGCGTGTGTGTGTGTTTATGTATGTATTTATGTATGTATGTATGTATATATGTATGTATGTAAGTAAGTATATATAAATGTATGTACGTATGTATGTCTATGTGTGTTTGTGTCTGTATTTATGTATATTTATATATATGTGTGTGTGTGTATGTGTGTGTGTGTGTGTGTGTGTGTGTGTGTGTGTGTGTGTGTGTGTGTGTATGTGTGTATTAAAGTATGTATGTATATATGTACGTATGCATATATATATATATAAATATATGTGTGTGTGTGTGTGTGTGCGTGGGG